AAAGAGTTGCAGTAATCCAGCCTAGAAGTAACAAATGCATGGGATTATTTTTCTGCATCTGTCTGTTGACAAGGATTATGTTCTAATTTTTGTTATATTAAATACGTAAATGAAAAGAAGGCAGTTCCTAGAGGTCTGCTTTTATGTGGGAATGAATGAAGCACAAGTCCTGATCCAAAGCATAACTCCAAGATTCCTGACAGTGTGCTAGAGCGCCCAACGTAATACGCCATCTAGAGTATAACTATATCTTTAGACACGTGAGTCTCTTAAGATACTATGACCTGCTACTGCCTACCACTACTACAAACGCATACACGCCAGCGTTACTACTACTTACAACAGTCTGTTTGTTTGTTTGTTTGTGTGTTTATTTGTCTCAGCTCCTGTATAAACATCACATTGGGAATTACATCGTCACAGTGATTTTCCAAGAGCCAGACGCTCTGCCCTTCTGTCCCCAAAACATCAACTCACACGTCTTCATCATCGTCAGAGTCCACCGACCCTGCAGCCAACACACCTGCTACAGGTGAGATTGTACTGGCTACAGACACACCCATGTCTGTTTACTCTCTCGGTTTACCTCCACCTGTTGACGTGTTTACCTTCAGCTGTTGATGTGTTTATCTCCACCTGTTGACGTGTTTACCTCCACCTGTTGACGTGTTTACCTCCACTGCCATCAGTGTATGAGTGTGTGTGAATGGAGCGAGTGTGGCTGTAGTGTACAGTGCATTGAGTGGTTGAAAGACTAGAAAGGCACTATATAAGTACAGTCCATTTACCATTTACCACCTGTCATTTAGCGTTGCAGTTTCCAGGTGCAGAGACGTCCCGTGCTTCGGTCCTCTGATCCCAGCAGGTCAGAGTTTTTCCGCCTCTCCTGCTTTCAGGGACTTTCTGCTGACGAAGATCATCAATGCTCAACACGCCGTACGCAGGACAGAAAAGGTTGTTGCCATGGCGATGTGCAGCAGACAGGAACACCTGATGGCGCTGGTGGAGAACTTTGTTACGTCGACACCAGTGGACATGTCCTCCTCTGCCAGGTTCAGTTTTATCTCTCTGGGAGGGAAGAAGAAGGAGCGCAGCACGCCGTGCCGATACGCTTACCTGCAGAGCAGCGGGGCACTCACCTGGAGTGTGACAGTTCGAGACTTCACCCACTCCACTGCTGTCACATGCCGGCTTGCCGTCTCCAACGAGTTTGTGGTGCTGATAGAGGAAGCGAGCAGACAGGTGGTGTTCAGCTGTTACTGCAGAGACGTGATTGGGTGGAGCGCTGGACACGGACTCATCAAACTGTTCTACGAACACGCCGACTGCATGATGTTTTCTACAACCTTGGAGGATATCAGAGAAATCTCGCAGAGACTGCAGGTGAGGAGAGATGTGATTATTCCAACCAGAGACACATCAGTAATTAAATCTTAATATTGAACAAACTGAGAGCTGATGTTTTAACCACCGAAAAACTTGATTTTAAAGTGTAACGTCACAACAAATCCACACACTCACTTTATTCCTTTATATTTCTATTGACCCTGATCCTGTTTTATAGCTTTATTACAACAGTTTTTACTAAGAAAATCTACAAATTTGGTCTTCTAGAGCCAAAAACATCTGCTAATAATCAGTGACTCAAAATATGTGACAGCATCATGTTGACTGACCAACAGCCTCCTGGAATATCAATACAACCATCAACCATTAGCAATGTGCACAGTGTGGAGCAGAAATATTAGAGCTGAAGAACATGTGAGCTCTTACTGACAGTGGCATATGTGTAACTATGGTTCTATGAATTCTTGTTATATTGATGTTTTAACATCTCCAGTGTGTAATATTACTGTAATATAATATTCAGGTATGTTTTCATCACCTGTTTTCATTACCTTAGAATAAGACGTTTTTATCTTCAGAAGGAGCGGGTCCTCTTCTACAGAGTCCGCCATGTTGAACCATCATGTTTCTACAGTAGCCCAGAATGCACAAACCAAACATTGAATCTAGATAGGGGTGTTCGCGTATTTCACGGACACAGTACTTTTTCCTTTGCGCTTGGGAATGGAGGGTGAAGTAAGGGAGTTGCAATCTGCAACTACACCATTAGATGGCATTAACTCCTACACACTGGACTTTTTTGATAGACCACATCATTATGACTGATGTAAAGACATTAAACATGGATGATGTGGTGATAGCCAGTTATACCTACACTGTGTAACTTCTGCCAGTAGGGATTGATTGATTATAAATTATTGATTGAATCAATTACATATAGAACATAGCTCTAGAGTTTATACACTGTCTATTGATTATAGATTATTGATTCAAGGCCCAGAAGCTCTTATGCACTAAATAAATACAGAGCTGCAGTGATGATGTATTTTCTGTAGTCCAACCATGCCATTTTGAATTATTGATGAAAAAGATCTGTGGTGAACAAAGGTTTATGATACAGCAAGAAAATCTAACCCTCCATAAATAAATAGTCACATAACTTCAACATCACCACTACTAAACTTCCAACTTGTATTTAGGGTTAGTCTCCGTGTTTTAATATCACAGACAACCTCTGTAGTGTCATTTAGATACTTGTTAGCAACCGCCTTTTTTAAGACAAGTAAAGGCCTCCGCACACCAACCAACCCGATTATGTGCCGCCGGACGCCGTCCGGACAGTCGGCGAGGTCGGTGACTCGAATCGGTTCGGTGTGTTCCGTGCCGTCGTCAGTCCCGCGTCGGCGTCGGCCTTCATTTTGGCCGATTCGGCATGTAGAATCGCCAGGTGGCCGTCGGCCTCAATGACCAATCGATTGGTGGAGTGCTAGCCCTTGACTAGCGAATCAGGTGAGTGCACGAGAAACCCGAAGTGACGATGGTAAACATCTATGCCAACGCCAGTATTCCTTGTTATTTATTAGCCATCGTATTTCCGTCAGCAAGTAATGACAATAACGATCCTTGTTGACTACTATAAAACACTCTTTGATGAAAACAATGACTTGACACAGCAGTA